CCTGTTGAACCTGCCTGAATAGGCTCCAGCTCCCCCCTACCCTGAAGTGGATGAAGCAGTTAGAAAATGGATGGATGGACCTACCCTATTGATTCTGTGTTAAACATCAATCAAAAAATTGCTTCTCATATTAGTATTATATTGAAAACATGCCTTCAACACCCTCAAAGTTTATTCACACCCTTGATGAAATGAGAATAAACATCAAATTACTTAAAGATTTACATTTTCAATAATGTTTCTTGATTACAAAATTGCGAAAATGTTATGCAGGAAATCTTAATAGCATTATACAGAGCAAAGTCATGTTTGCTGTGGATAATTAAATGCAAAAAAAACATGAGTGACATTTATGCACAATAATCCCAAAACATGAAAAAGAAAAAACAAAATATAATAGATTGTGTAATATTTCACAGTGGACATGAGGCTTTTTTTTCTAGTATGTTCATCTGACATTCACTCTTTGTAGTTTGCCCTCATTGAGAGCCTTCTTCCACACAACCCACCTGCAAGGAGGTTTGAATGGTAGTTTTCAACATTTTGTATCCTGATGATTCCAGTATGTACTAGAGACCTCCAACAGCTGTCTTTGGCTTTACAGTTGCTTCCAAACCAGTTGTTCCACAGCCCGTGGTGCCAACATACACTTGTGTCCTCTGTCTTAATAATGGACACCACAGTAGGAGGTACTGTAGTACATTTGTCTGTTTTAATTATTTTCATAGCCATCCCCCAACTTGAGGAAGTCAATGACCTTCTGTCTGAAGCCTTCAATGACCTGTCTGACCTTCACCTGCTATTCCTTAATGTTTTTTTGTATGTTACCTCCTTTTAAACCCCTTTAAAACAGGGAACTTTATATTTCCTGTATATAAGTATATTGTATATAAATACTTGTATATCTAGTATATTGTTCTACAGGCTTCCACTACACTTCCAGTGAGCAGAATGTTTTTGTAGATCTGTTTTTGTTAATCGATTTAAAGGAAACCTTGGAGGTGTTCTTGTTTTCTGGAATTCCAATTAATTATGACAGATAGCATTCTGTTCTATGAAATCATGCTCATTCTGCTATTTTGTTGGAGATGTAGATACATCTGTAAGACACTATAATACTGGAGTGCACTAGCTGTACCTGCGTCTTACGTTAAGTGGCTGTTGTACCAATAGTGTGTTTTTACGGTCTTTGATTTCCTTCTCTGTTATGTAAAATCCATCCTCCTTGTAAACTCCCTATTTCAAGGTCCTGGCGAGCCGCAGTCCTGTACTTTGTTTAGATCACCAAGTTATGGAACAATTCCTTTGTGATCAATTAAACATGTGCTTTTTTAAATTTAGAGTTGATATAATGATTTAGGAGTTAGGTATAATGATTACCTAAGGCCTTACTTCTGCACAGCAATGACTATAGCAATGACCAAGATCTGTTAAACAGCTCGATTTCATTGGACTGCTCAGAGCTGCCATAACGGATCCAGAGCATCTTAAAGAACATAATGTAGTTTCACCAGTTTTGTTGTATACAATCTTTTAAAAAAAGATTGATATGCTTGGGATAGAGTCTGGAGGCTTTAATTTTCGATACACAGATAAACAGAGAATACCGACTTTCTCTTGAACGTTTTGCAGCAGAAGTCTATATTTTCAAACTAATAGAATTTCTTATACTGAAATCCTGTAAAAATGTAACACATTCAAGAATGTGGCATTAACACCAGAACACCAGAATGATTTGTCTTTGAGACGGTTCACTGCTTTTATATACTTCATGGGTGACGGGTATAAATGTTCATGGCTGACCAGATTCTTTCCCAGTAACACATGCCATGATTTCACAGATAAAAGTTACAACATGCACAGTCATGATTGCATTTCCTGCTACCTGAATGATTGGTTTGACAAGAAAGGGAATGTCAGAACTGTTGTGGGAGAGAAATACCTTGGTATAGAATTTAGATTTAGATTTAGAATTTAGAATAACTGTAAGGATGGGACAGTGGCACAGAGGTTAGCATTGCTGACTCACTGCGCTGGAGTCCTGAGTTCAGTTCTGGACCTGGGCTGCTATCTGTGTGGAGTTTGTATGTTCCCCCCATGTTTGCATGGGCCTCCTCTCACAGTCCAAAGAAGCTGGAAGGTCAATTGGCTTCTGGGAAAACTGGCCTGGGTGGGTGTGCGTGGGCATGGGCGAGGGCGAGTGCGAGTGTGGTTGTGTGTGTGAGTGTGCGCATGCAATTGGCTCCCTGATGCACACTTGAATACAAGCTTATTGCATAATGAGATCATGTTGGGGAAATGAGGGATGTTATTCATTGACCCTTAGCTACGATATTTCAACTATCATTTATGATGGGAGCTGTACCCACAGACTGAAGGATTGCAAATATAATCAGTTCGTAAAACAGGGGAAGGAAATAATCCGATACTAGCAGTAAGTTCAGTACAGTGAAATTAGAAGAATACTTACAAAACAAAATTTTAAGAAATAAGCAACTTTTAAATGGGAAGTAGTGTTTAAATAACTTACTAGAACTGTTTGAACAAGCAATATGGACTACATTGCAGATATCCAGAAAGCTTTGATAAGGTCCCTCATGAAAATTAATAACCATAGGAGTACATGGATCAAAAACCTGCTAATGAACAGGTAGAAAGTACATTATGTTAAAGGGCATAACCATTATTTGGGTAGATCTGATCTACCAGATTTAGATTTTGGTATAATCAGTTAAGTTCTGTAATCAGGTCTGCGTGTGATAAAAATGTATGGGGAGTGGCAAATCCAGAAAGAGCTGGAAGGGAATTCCAAGATGTCAAAATCATGGATTGGGCGGATAGTTGGCAAATGAAATTCGTGCGTGCAATGCTTTCGCACAGGAAGTACGAACTCAAGTTCTTTCGCATGGATGATTTTGTGATACAAGACGTCACACTCTGGTGGAATCTGGGTTTGGATTTTCTATGTCCTCATCAAGGCTATACGGGAAAGTGATAAAAAGCAAATCGAATGCTGGGTTTATAGTACAATATTTTGAACTAAAATCAAGGAACGTTATGTTAAATCTTTTTAATGTGATAGTAAGAGCTTAATTGGAATATTGTGATTGGTTTTGACCAGCATACAACAAAAAGGGATTATAGCATTAAGAGTTTAAGGAAAAGCAGCACGAAACATCCTTGGTCTCAGGATTCCATTGTATTAGCCTTTCTTATATTCTAACATCTAGAAGATGTTACAGCCAACCACAGTCCACCAATGGGGAGATTCTGAATCATGAAACTTAACCTTTGATTGACACAGCATTGTGCTTGATCATGACCACCTTCAGAAATACCAGGTCATGCCAAGTGACTGATGACAGTTGAACAGCATGGCTTGACCTCACTTCCTGCCCTTCTTGTAGACTCATCTTGATGTGATTAGTGGCACAGCACTTGTTATTATGCTGCTTGTGTAACAGCTTCCCTGAGAGCTGAGAATGGGACAGGCATGTCATGGATGCCCCACAAACAAGAGTTGAGCCCTGTTGGACATTTGTTGGTTTAAACTTGGATGACATGGAATCTAGGGCTCAGAGACCAGTGAACAGGCACTTGCTTGTCTGGGCTCTAGGAGAGGGATGGGACCTGTGAACTAGTGCAACGCATACATTGCAATTGAACAGACTGCATTGATTTCAATTGTGGACACACACACTATCCCAACACTTTCATGGTAAAATCACTGTTGATGACAAAAAGTCAATCTTCTGTATAGTTATAGCTATAACTATATTCTGTATAGTTAAGAAGCAGGATGATAAATTTCATGTCATGTGTGTTCAATAAACTGTCAGTTCTCCTGCTGCAAAAGCATTTCCTGATAACTTGGTAAGTTTTTGTTTCATGCACAGTATATACTTACAAAAGTCTCAGTGATAGTTGTCTATTAATAGGTTAGGAATACAACTTAGTAAATGTATAAAATAATTATGGTACAATTGTAAAATACAATTTAAGTGCCATTTCATGTGGAAAATTGACAGTTATTTTTTAGGTCACAAGATCTAGTGATGATGCAAGCAATGAACAAATGAACACGCAGCGCAGGAACGTCATCAGATATCTGTTCTGACATGAAAGAGTTGCCACAGTGCCTGTCTCGTCTGAGAAGGGGAAGTGAGAGTAACTACTGTATTATTTAAATAAAAGGCAACAGGATTTATTTACAGAATTTATCTATAGTATTTAGTGGAAAAAAGTTACCACAGTAAGATGTGTAGTTTTTTCCAGGAAAAAAAAATCAATCCTCTGTACAGATACCAAACCAGATACCATTATACTGAGCGATCACACTACCAGAGTTCCATAATTATTTCTCTGCCTGTCCAAGGATGTAGAGTTGTGAGGCTCTTGAGAAAGAGATTACAGCTCCAGTGTCCAGACCTTGTGGCACACCTGTCACTTGCTGTGGATGGATCATGCTCTCTCCCTGCCTCTCCAGCGCTGCTGCTGTGAGGGTGATGATGCCCCTCTCCTCTCACCTGCGCTGCACTGTGCTTCTGCTTGGTTCACCACCGGAGCTCCTGCCACCTTTTCAGTACCCAATATCTCAGTCCTGCTGGTAACACTGCCAACCTTGAAACTCTCTGATACAGGGGACTATCTGGCTTCTAAGGCAGTTAAACATAGCCAGTAGAGGTGTATCTCCAATAAGCACTCTTTAATTGTCAGTTCCCTCCATTAAAAGGACTCTCAGCAATCAAATGTTCATCTAATTTTGGAAACCAGGCTCCTGGCACACCAGCATCCACTTGTTCATGCATTGAACACTCATTTCCAGAGGGTGCAGAGCCTAAATAAAGATGCTTCATATGTTTGTGCTGTTCCAGCCCTTCACCTGTAGTATGACCTGCAGAAGTCGATCGATGCACAAGGGGAGCGTTACTGTCATATTACATCTCCTCAGCTATGGACATTTTGAATTTTGCAGTTCATTTTGTTTCATGGCACCCATCCTAGCGTCATCCTCATAAATTCAATTATGAACTTCTCCTTTCAATTAAGCTCTTTTACATTTACTTTGTATAACATGTTGCAGAAGACATGAAAAAGGGACCTTTTTCATCTTCAAACTAAGTAAGGTCTGGTTTGTGCCGGGTGCACACTTGGGACTTTCCAGGCAAATTATTTGACAACAGCACCTCCTGGAGTCCTTTCTCAGAAGTGTTACCTGACCTCTGCATAATAGATTTTTTCATTGATGTAATGAGCCCATCTCTTTCAAGCCCCCAGGGGGCACTTGTAAATTCAGAAGTTCCAAAAAAATAATGAAATCATTTTATTACACATCATTAATCACTAATAATCCATTATTCTAAGCTAAGACACAAAGCTATATACAAATATAGTTTTTTTTTAACAATGGTAACAGCTAAGGTGCCTGTACAACTGTGTTTTCTGCAAAGATGGTGAAAGAAAACTATATGGAGCTATGATGTTTCTCAATTATACTCTGCAGCTCATCTGCAGCTTTGTTCAGCTTCATCTTTCTTAACTGTTCAATTAGATCAGGAAAGGCATTGGCAAGCCCTCGCCTCTGATTCCACTCCTTCAAAAGATTAACACCTTGCTCTCTCGCGTCGTGTTGATCGTTTAACATGATCATCTGCACCCTAGCCGGAGTTATTCCACTCTCCAATGCCAGCTGCTTAATGTATTTCAGTTCAACTCTGTCAGCAATCTGGTACAAGAATGGCTCCAGGTTAACACCTGCAAAAAAAGGCAGCAAAAAAACAAAATGGTTCAAATGCAAACAGAAAAGCCTGCGCATTATATAATTTGCAGCTAATACATATTTCTACAGTAATCCCAAGAGAAGCTAATGATGGCCCAATAGAACTTGGAATATTCCATGTTGACTTAGATATGATTTCTTGTGGAGTATTTTGGTGTTTGAACCTAAGACAGGTTATAAACAAGATGCCATTCAGTTAATCTATTGTAGATTGTTTCTTATTAGCTAACTGATCCAAGGATCTTGTGCAGCCTCTGTATAAAGATCTGCAGTTCTCAGTTTTAAATTCCTGCTCAATTCCTATCCTGTTTTCTGAACCAAGAAGCCAAGAAAAGCAAGAGCAGAAAACAGGGCTCCCCTCACCTTGCATTATTTGTCTTCAGCAAAATATGACAACCACAATGGTGACCAGATCCAGGTATCTGAAAACCCTTTCAAATACTTCTTATGAAAGAAATCTTTATTTCATTTCATCAGCAATCCAAGGCTTTGAAGTTTGGATGTGAATATTTGATCAAATATTTTAACCCTGAAGTTGGGCTTTGAGAAATATGGCCCATCATGCAAACCTGTTCTTTTCAACAAGAAAATGTCAAAGTTTACTCTAAACCTGGTATCATTCTAATTTCTTTAGACTGTTAAAGTAAGTCAGTAGGGATTTGTTAAGAAACCTTCAAAACTGTTTGCAGTTTCTATCTCTATTTCTATCTTTTTGCACACGTAGGACTCAGGTGTGCAGAATGTTGTAGCATGAAAAGAACTAGTTACTCTAAAGGCTACCACAAGGGGGAGAAAGACTATATAAATACTCAGGTGCTTCAGTTTAGTTCATTTCAGAATGTGCCTTCGATTTTAGTCAAATTTATTAGCTGAGTCATTGTTCAAAATCAGACCATGCTGGTGCCACTTCTAAATAACACATTTTTAAAAAATGCTAACTTTATATTTGTAAGTGAAATGCAAAACCTAAGTACCTGGTTCTGGTGCGTTCAGGAGATTCTGTGAAACAAAAATGAAACCAAGGATTAAAAAAGGTTGTTTCTGATTATAGAACCTCTACAGCTTCTAAAGATAAGCAGATTTACAGTATAAGCTGCATCAGAAAACAGCTAAGACATGAGGCTATACAAGACCATTTCACACTTTTTATCAGGGCAAGAGCCCCACGAGTGATAGAAAAAACAAAAAATGTGGCAACAACATTAACCATTGTACATAGCGCACATTGTTTGTGTGCTTTTTATGGTTTAACCTTAGTGTTTCTGTGGTATTTAGTGGATTTAATTGTACTTTACGATACTGGGCCATGATGTATGACAGAAAAAAGCATTAGAATCAGATCACTTCCTATTACCAGCAACCCAATAAGTTAGATGGGCCAAATGTTATTACACTATTATCATGGTATGACATGATATCCCCAAGGCATAGTTTAGTACAGCACCACAGCAAAAACATGGTAAAGACACAAAATTATTTCCATCATTGTAAATTTACCATGCTAAAGTTTTATGAAAGAAAAGCTCCAAGATCATACAAATAATTAAAGAACTGTAAACAAGATCATTTTGAAAACAAAGACCTAAAAGTGAATTAAATACCTCTCTATTTTCTTGTTCCATGTTCTGATGTTCCCTTTTGTTGCGATTACCTATTGAACAAATAAAACAAAAATATCACCAAAATCGAAACGTTTCATTTTACATTGTTGTGAATAATTATTTCTTATATTTGTGCTGTGCTTATATTTGCAGTCTGGGATCTTAATTTTTTTTACACAGCGGATCAAGTACAGAATTAAGGGAGAAATCTATGATGCCCAGACCGTACCAGCTCAGAGTGAAGTCTGGCCAGGACAGCACAATTAATTAATTAAAATCTGTACTCCTACTAGCAGTATAAAGGGATCTTGAATGCTTTAATGACCAAGTCCTCTTGACTTTAGGTTAAGGTCTCACCTAAAAGACTGCACCTCCTGCCTGGGCATTGGTTTGGAAATTCTGGTCCAGAGGAAGCAGCACCATCTACTGGTCCATGAACATCATTTACAGCAACAACTTAGTTATGAGGTCTCCCATACCAGTACTGAACAGTCCCAGGCTTCTTAGCCTCAAATTCAATGGTACATTTTTTTAAATTAATTAATTTATCTGTATACTTACCAAAACAGTATAGTCTCTTCTTCCACAGAATTCCAATACCAACTATTAAAAGCAGTACTATACATGTAATTATAACTGGAGCAATCACTGAAGTCGAACCTGCAACTGAAATCAGAAATCAATTAAGTCCCAAAATATGTCTAAATTACTTAAATTAACAATCTGACCATTTAATGAATCAGAATAGAATGCATACTACTGTATACCATCAGAAATTGGTAATTTAATGTTGATCCAAAAATCTGCTGTGCTGGGTTTCTCCAGGAACAAGACTGGAAACCCTAGCTATACTGTATGGATTAGAGTACATGACTGAGCAGTACAAGGATTGTTCATCTTCTGCTGTGGTAGAAACACTTTGGCACTGGAAAGGAAGAACTGTTTGAAATGAACTTAAAGATTATTAAATAATTAAAGACTACAAGTAATGCCCATGTTTTCTCAGAAACAGTGGGGCAGAGCGATGGTTCTGTGGCTAAGGATCTGTGTCTGTGGCTGGAAGGTTGCCAGTTCAAATCCCATGGCTGGCAGAGGAATCCTTCTCTGTTGGGCCCCTGAGCGAGGCCCTTAACCCCAGCTGCTCCAGGGGCACTGTATTAATGGCTGACCCTGTGCTCTGACCCCAGGCTTCCCTCTCCCTGCCTGTGTGTCTCATGGAGAGCAAGCTGGAGTATGCAAAAAGACAATTTCCTAATGCAAGAAATTGTATATGGCTAATACAGTGATCTTATCTTTCCTGAATATCAAAAGGTAAAGGTCATCTAACGGTTGAAATGACTACCACTCTGAGTCCATTTCAGCTCTTAAATAGGTCCTTTAGGCCTGAAAAGACATTTTGTGCTAAAAAAAAGAATCACTGCTATCATAAAAATGAATTAATTTGCAGCTCACACACATTTGCTATTTTAAAATTGTCATTCATAGTTTAAACTCACAAAAGAGGCACATTATGTACAGGATAGAACTGAATAGAGATGGAAGTAATATTTCCTGTGTCACTTATCTGTACAAACTTTAACTAGTACATTGACACAGAAAGGGCAGGTGGGAATGGTGCACTTTTACTGGGCAATCTCTGTCTGTGAAATAAGAGAATACTTTCCAAGACAAATATTATTTTGTTATCCTCAAACAAACAGATCATAGGTGTACTGCAACTAACAGAACAGTAGCTCAGTGTTATTTAAGAAGGGAGAGTAAGAAAATATTTAACAGGAATTAACTCAAATTAACAGATAATAAATTGCAATTTCTCTGTAAGTGCAAAAAAACTTTACCTCGTTCTCCACAGACTGTATCGTTAGTTCTTGTACATGTTTGGGCAACACGGCCTTCACAACTTAAAAAAGGAATGTTACAGAATTATGATCACAACTGGCCAACAGGATGGGCAGAAACAACTGTTCTTTTCAACAAGTGTATATTTTCTGCAATGTGTAAATGACGAAAATAATATCCTGAAAAGGTGGATGTAAGAGTTTAAGAAAACTATATCTTGTTTGAAACTAGATAAAGCTTTTTGACAGTGGCTCATCCATGTAAGGATCTCATCCTACTGGTTCTCTAAAGAAGTCAGGGTATTGGTACAGGGCTTTGACAACGTGGCTGGATATCTTGTTCCAGACATCCCTTGCGGTGCCTCCAGTTCTCCTTCTTCTATATACAGAATATACAGTGCCTTCAGAAAGTATTCACCCCCTTGAATTTTGTCACGTTTTGTTCCCGTTACACCCTCAAATTTTAACATTGATTTTTTTTTCTCCCTTCAATAACACAATAAATTCAACACATTTATGAATCAAAAATATTTTTTTTCCCCAGAATGAAAGACTTATATTTATCATTTACAAAAGTATTCACCTCTCCCCTAGTCAATACTTTGTACATAGTCCTTTAGCAGCAGTTACAGCCGTGAGTCTTCTTGGGTGTGTCTGTATGAGCTTTGCCCATTCTTCAATGCAAATTTGATTTAACTCAACTAACTTAGATGGAGAGCGTCAGTGGACAGCAATTTTCAGGTCATACCACAGATTGTCAATTGGATTCAAGTCTGGGCTCTGGCTGGGCCATTCCATAATACTAACCTTCTTTTTTTTCCCCAAGCCATTCCTTGATAGTTTTTGATTTGTGCTTTGGGTCATTTCCTGCTGGTAAATGAATCTCAGCCCTAAACGCAGATCTCTGGCTGACTGAAGCAGGTTCTCCTCAAGGACTTGCCTTTCTTTGGCTCCATCCATGTTGCCCTTGATGGCAACAAGCTTTCCAGTTCCTCCTGCTGAAAAGCAACCCCAGAGCATGATGCTGCCACCACCATGCTTGACAGTAGGGACGGTGTTACCTGGGTGTTAGGTTGTATTTGGTTTGTGCCAAATATAGCGCTTTGCTTTCAGGCCAAAGAGCTCAGCTTTGGTCTCAGACTACAACATTTTCTTCCTAAATGTTTCAGGTTTTGTCATATGGCTTCTAGAAAACTCCAGGTGTGACTTAATGTTGGCGTTTCTCAGAAGTGGCTTCCTTCTAGCCACTCTCCCAAAGAGACCGAATCTGTGAACTGCTGAAGAGATTGTTGATGTCCGGACAATTTCTCCCATTTCAGCCAAAGAGCCCTGTCAGTGTTGTAGCTGGCCTCTTGGTCATTTCTCTGACAATTGCCCTCCTTGTCCAGTTGCTCAATTTGGTAGGACACCCTGTTCTTAGTAGTGTCCGGGTCGGGGCATGTTTTTTCCATTTTGTTACGATGGACTTCACAGTGCCCCTAGGAAGGTTCAAAGCTTTGCCAATCTTTTTATGACCTTCTCCAGCTTTTTCCCTCCTAACAACTTCTTCTCAAAGTTTCACATGCAGCTCCTTGATCTTAATGATAGCAGGACTGATCTGATCTTTTTTATGTGAGGCCTCACAGTCAGTGATATTTATTGTGCAATCAAGCTATTGAACACAGGTGGATTCAAATGAACACAGGTGTACCTTGTTAATGTATTTAGTGTGATACCTCTCAAAATAATTGAATACCTCACGCAACTTAGGTTGTTAAAACAAAGGGGGTGAATACTATACGTATCAATTAAGTAATCTTCATATGTTTATTTTTTATATAATTCTGAAGACATCTAAATGCTTTATTTCATTTTAACATTATAGAGAATTACTTCTACAGGAGTGGAAACAATTCCCATTTAGATATGCTTTAATTTGACTTTGCAACACAGCAGAATGAGAAATAATCTGTGGGGGGTAAATACTTTCTAAAGGCACAGTACATTCTTTGTTCAATTATTACATTTCCCTCTTGCTGAAATGTGTGCCAGAATGCAGAATAGTGCATTTATTTTTTGGGAAATTACATGCTTCTGTTTCCACATGTTTCCAGGATTCTTGATATCACTACAGAAAATGATCAAATCCATTATACATTATGTGTGGGTTACATTATTTTCAGGATACATGGATCCATGGAAACATTAATAACATTCTAAACAATGTTGATAATATAAAAACTAAAACAATGTTCCCAAACCACTAGTATTCTAAGCATGAGTATTTAAATAAATATTTTGGACAACATTTGCAATCAACTGCTTTTAAATATGCAAACATCTTCACATTGGTGGATTCATACAAGAAAATAATTCTTATGATTGATGCTGACATTTAAATTACACACATTCATACATATAGAGCAAACATCAATGTCAATTCACACTTACGTTTTACAACGGTGACACTGTTTACAAGGTGGACTGGGACAGTATGAATGTTCTTGACATCTGCACTTCCTGTTCTGAGTTTTAGTACACTGTGACTCCTCTTCCAGTAAAGCTACAATGAAAATCCATTAGTGAAAGTTATGGTCAGAAAACAATTAGCAAAGTTATTGTTATAGCAATAATAAAATAAAACATCTGTTCACAGTGTGCAGCATGGTGGTGCAATAAGTAGCATGGCTGCCTTGCAGCACTGGGGCCATGGTCTCAATTTGGGACCTGGGGTGCTATCTGTGTGGAGTTTGTATGTTCTCCCCAAGCTCGTCTGGGTTTCCTCCAGGAATTCCGGTGTAACGAACAGTTCTTTCTGGACCCTATGCGGACAACACAATTCAGAATGGTGATGAAACACTGGGGAAAAAGCCATGCAGGAAACGGGGATCAAAACAGGGGGGCGTGTCCTTGGTGCGCTGGTGTACAGGGGGGGTGAGTCCGGGTCAAACAATCCCGTAGTAATCCAAATGGGAAATCCAAACACGAAAGGAGAAGTCCAAAACCGGGAGGTCCATCCAAAAACAAACTAGATAAAAACAAGAACCGGGTCGGAACCGGTGGAATGGGAACGGGAACGGGAACAGAGATTAAAACCTTAACGGGACCAGGCGCTTCCAGGTCCCGGACTCGCACGATACAGAGATCAGATGCAGAGCCCGGATTAATGTCAGCGCCTGGCTTTTAAGGTGGGCTAGGAACAGGAAACAGGTGCACAAAAATCAAGTCCAAAGTGAAAGGGCCGGAGCGCCCTTAAGATGGGAGGGACTACCGTCGTGACATCTGGCTTCCTCTCATAGTCCAAAGACATACTGGTAGGTCAATTGGCTTCTGGGAAAACTGGCCCTAAGTGTGAGTGTGCCCTTGTCGTTATTTGTGTCTGTGTTCCTGCCCTGCAATGGACTGGCTTTCTGTCCAGGGTGTTCTCTGAAAAATGTATAGATCTACGAGCAGGTCGAATGAATACTGTACCACAACTTTCACTTAACTGGATCTATTAATGAGACGTACTCACTTTCCCTGCAGAACTCTGAATGAAAGTATCATGTTAAAGCCTGATGGAGAGGCAGTCTTAGAAAAACAGAGTTCTATGCAGCCTAAAATTATGGATGGGTCTGAGCTCGGGGCAGATACAACCATTATTTTAATGACGCACAACACACAAGAAGAAACCCAATACTTTATGAAGGCTATAGACAGCACAGTGCTGTTAGCGCTTCATATGGATGACCCCAGATAACGTGGAGACATACCAGCTGCCTCGCATTTGTCACAGTTTAAACATTTTTCACCGATGTGTTCATCCTCCATGTACGTGTCCTCTGGGCAGGGCTCACATTCATTTTTTATGTTGTTGAATTGTTCACCTGGATAAAAAAATAAAAGACAACATTCAGACTGACCTCTAATACACCTGCTGCTGTCTTGGATACTTGAGTACATTCACTAATTCAGTAAAAATTCTAGGAGATTTATGAAGTCAGCCAGCTCCATACTTGTGAACAGTTAAGAGTTCATTACTGACACAGCAAGACATTGATTACTGTAGGCAAGGGAAGGCAACAGAGTTGGATCCTTAGATGTTATTATTCAGATTATTGTTCTTTTTTCCAGATCAAATTTTAATTGCCTGTAAAATCCAACTCCCCACACAAGAACCCATTAAATCTAGGGGACTTCAAAGGACCACAGGAAGCTGAGTCAGTAAATGCTGCACATGCAGGCTGCGTGCTTGTTTTTAAATAATTGAGGAATTCTGAAGACTTTTGTTCTCTGAACCTGAACACCAGAGAAGTCCTAATCCTCTCATGATACAGTTTATTTCTAACAAAGTGTTTTGACCCATTGCTTGGCTGCCATCTTGGATTTGAACAAAAAAACAGCTTGTTGAACTGCTTCAACTCCTAAACTTTGAATAAAGTGAAACTTGGCACACATAAAGTAGGTTGTGTAGTCCATCAGTTTTGTTTTGCTCATGACAAACTGCTATCTAAAACACAGGCACAGGTAATTTCATAAATTGCATTATACCTTAATGTTACAGTGTGACAGACTTATAGGAGCTTCATGTAGTTCTAGAGCTCACACAAATCTACAGTGGCAGAGGACATTAAGCTACTCTGTCACATAGTGTGGTTCTTATATTCAGTAATTCAAGAGTTTCGCACAATTTACAAAACTCTTCTCTATAAAAAACAAATGAAAAAGACTCTACATCTTGTGAGATGGTGTTACCTCTTGGCCATGGTTAAGTTTCAGGACAGGTCAAAAGTCAGGTGACTGGGCCTCTTACAGCAGGTGAGTAGCTTGTTTATCACATGTGATTCGTAGTTCTGGAAAGTTACTGTATGGTCATCCACCTAATGTTGGCTGGACTTAGTTTTAGTTGCTCTTGTTCTACGTGAAGTTAATAAATGTTAATATAAGCATATAATGTTGGTTACTTGCCTGTCATTTAAGACTGGCTGAGCAGAATAAAATAAACCGTGTACCATAGCAAAATGGTCCCTCACTTTATTGAGGGTGGCTGAGTAGGATTATATTATGTAAAATTAAATATTTAATAGGAGAGGTGGTTAGTTAGATTAAGCAGAATTAATTATTTGATTGTCTCATTGTTTATCAGAGTGACAATATGGAAAATAATTTGTGTGTGTTACGCTCTGTGTAGTATGTGTGTTGTGCGCTATTGATTGTGTCGTCCTCTTCATCAAACCCCTCTCCCCCCTCTTTTACATAATGTTTTTTACGCTGTAAATGGGCTGTAATAAATGTAGCTGTAGAGCTCACCTGATTTTGTCAGGGTACATTACATTCCTTTTTTACTTTTTTAAATTACATAGAGCTAATATTTTACTGTTATGTAGCAAAGCTTTTTTTCTGTACCTTTGAAGAACACACTGAGGGTGTTTTAGTAATCTAAAAAGCCAAAAAGGCTTCACTTTACCTAGTATTTGTTTTGCTGGCTGAGACTTTTTTTTAAAAAAAAGTTCAATAAACTATGGGTGGGTAAGCTGTCTGAAACATGAAAGTATACTGCCAAAAATATATCCCATGGTTTCCCACAGTTGTATACAAGCCAGTCGGGCTGCTTGGACCAACAAATGCACGAAGGCCAACAAAATGCTGTTTGGTAGTAATACACTGCAAGTGCAAGATCATCTGCCAGCCAGCAGCCATGATGTTAGCTCAAGTCAAGTCTCACACATTGGGACCAAATTCTCACAGTCTCATGCCTTGGTCTAAAAATCTTACGCATTACCATCAAGTCTAGATTGATTAAAAAAATAAGTAATGAACATAAAAATGTTAATTTGCTGTAGAGACTTACAAGTCTGTTAAATATGTGTTTTTTTGTGCATGAATAAAATTAATCATCAATACAAATAATACGCAATCAGAATCTTCTATGGAAAATCTCATGCATTAGGGTGCTGGGCCCTTCAGAGCTATCTCAGTAAACAACATTCAAAAAAGCGCAGGATTTCCTCATAGCTGAATTATTGAGTCACAGATGAATACAGTGTCCTTTGTTGGTTGTGAAATATGCTAAGAAACATCATCTCAAGCCAATGCATTTTCTTATTGCCTCAATGAGAGCGAAATAATAAACTGCCTCATTAGCCAAAAGAACACAATGACGGTTTGATGCAAACAGAAAACAGCAAAAAGCAATGCTTTTCAAGCACACATTTCTTCCTCAGGCAGCATCATGGGTAGCCTACATCACTGATGAATCCTATTTGAACAAACTAGTTGCTGTGTTTAAATAATATCTTATTCAGGACAACACTGTTAAATTACAACAATAAGAAACAAGCGAGTGAGCTTGTAGTACATTACTCTAGCTGTTACATACTGTACTGTAGCTAGGTGGCTGGGGAGAGGGTTAATGTAACAAGATCTGCCTGAAATCAAAACAAAATGCAGTATTCTTTTTCTTCATGTTTGTAACCGAAATCGCTAAAAAGACAGACAAAAATATTGAGCCTCCTGTCAAATACTTCCAGTCGATAGACAGATGACTCTGCTGACGACTGCTGTGACATGATCATCAACCAGTGATGCGCCCACTAAAGAACGGCAGCTTAGAGGCACAGCAAGTTAGACACAAACATCACGTCTCTAGGTTCAATCCCAAATAGCTGAGCGACCCAAAATGTAGAAAAACAGCTGTACGATACAGAACGCGGTACGTTACATGGAACTTACTTTACATGATGAAAACTATTTAAGTTCTAACATTTGTAAAGTGCTTTTTTTATGTCATCCACAGGTTTGCAGACTAGGAGGTCAATCTGAGAGGCAATTTATTATGACCCCCTCCGCTAATTATAGGCAGGATTTATTTGACGCACATACTGTACTAAGTCAGATCGTCACAAATACCTCAATTTGTGGAATGCAATAAAATGAATTACCTCATGCCAAAGCAGCAGAATTAAGTATTCCAACTATTTCTGTTAAATGATGTTAAATTTATATCCTAACGAACTGTACCCTCAAATAATTTAAGCAGCTAGTAGTTTTCATTAATTGATTTATTTACAGCTATGAATTCCTCAACTTAAGAGCCTTTGTCCTGTTTAATACCTATTTCCATGTGTGTCTATTACAGATGCCTTTGACCCAGTTCTGAACACGAGGCCCTCACTGGCACATTTAAACACCTCTGCTTGCTTATTAGATTATCATTTCTCACATTCTGTTAGAAACTGACATATTTTGTGCCAATTTTTTCTAATGGATAATCATTTCTCTTAGATCGACCAAAGGTTCAAATACCGATCCCACCACACTATGAATGAAATGTTCCAAATGCCAGACGCTGTGGAAGAGCCCATTACTAAAGAACACAAGTCATTAAAGGCCCCAGGACTTGTCACTGATTGAACAGCTGGAATTTACTTTCTGTAAATTAAATTATCTGACATGAGAGCAAAAAATTATTTTAAAATATTTTAAAAAACATGTTTACATTAATTATGTAACAACCAATACTTTGCCACTCAGGACACGTTACAGAAGGATATCAGGAAAGAAATGTACTGTACAATGAAGTGGACCAGCTCCATGCCAGCCTGTCTGTGCTGTCTGCTAATGCTCTCACCATCCCAGTCTCGTGTTAACTGTGAGAGGGATTCCTTTGCAATGAGACTGTACATTGATATGAAGGAATAAACTTCTTTGATAACGACAGACCCGTGAAACAGACTCCAGAGGAAGACGGATTAAAGGTCACCAGTGTCAAACTTCAGCTTTCCAAGGGCCCTGGAGTGGTTCTTTCAGAAACTTAGGAGAACTGCTTGCTCTCGTGTTTACCATAAGTAATAGTGTGGTTAAAGACTGAAAGAGTATGTTCAGTATTGGGTGATGAAATGTTGAAGGGAATTAGGCTTTTTAAGCAATTCTTATATTGATTTAATAATAATGTTTAACTTTTATTTATGTCAAATTATTATATGCTATTATTTCTGTACACTGTGCGCTATACTACTGTAAATGTTCATGTGTGCGGTTTAGTTACGTTGTGTTCATTCCTTTTCCGCCTCGACAAACAACCACTACCGCAGAACACCTATTCACACTTCTGCACGGAGTCTGGTTGTGCCACTTTATTATGTCATCTGCGTATCGGTCACCACCAAGAAAATCTCTTTTCATTGCAGCAACACCACTTCACAATGCTGCCAGCGTCCCTGTGACATTGGTACTTAAACAGTAACTTTCACAGGCCCCTGACATCTTGGAATCGGGCAGAATCGATTTTAGAATCAAGAGAACAAACAAAGCAGATTCAAGAATTTCCGTTTCATCTGTTTTCTTACCCTTAGAGCATCGGATCTCGACGGGTTGCTCTTTATTCCGATTACTACCATCTTGTCTCCGAAATCGATGGTTGAGCCCGGCGGTCCTCTCGGCCCAGCAAGGTGCACAGCACTGTACAGTACAGGGAGAGATACAGTATGAATCGTTATTCCGCATCAAATAGCTTTCCTCATATCGTGATAACAGCGGTCACAATGCTACGAATCTCCGGTAAGGAGCACACAAATGATCTTATTCTCTAGTATCATATTACAAACTGTTAACAAGCCCATACATGCCTCGGTATAGTATTTTTACATAGCAAGTAAAACGAAAAGTATGGTACTGATTTATTTACAAGAACTTATGAGACAGATCATTGTAATATATAAAATCGGGAAATGTTATTTTATTAAATCGTTATTAAAACAGTTTGAAATCTAGTAAATGTTAACGCCCAGTAGTGGCAAATTAAAACGAAAGTAAAATGCTTTCCAGTAAGAGCATTTGTAATATTTGAACAAGTTAAAATTGTGACAACGTCAACACTATTGTCATTTTGTTCTGCTACCTTAGTATAAAAACAATCTGAAATCACCCTTAGAATGAAATTAAAAAGTTTCTCAAATTAAAACCCAGTCATTATACGTACCTGACTTTTTAAGAGAACGAAAAAAAAATCAGCTGAACCAAAGTTGAAAACAATTATCTAAAACCATTATTTTAATCAAATGTATCCAGCCTTCCAAACATACTTTACAGTTGCTGTACAGTATAATATTAATAACTATTATCGTCATTATCATAAAAACAAGAAAATACAGCCCCTGAAGAAAAGTCAGGTAAGTGAGGTAAAGTCAGCCTAGTGAGGTAATAAACAGTCCAGCTAGTCTTGGATTTAAAACTCACCAAAGTGCAGAAAAACAGCAGAGTAAATTTGCTCACGATGATTTTCTTCATGTTTCAAACATACGTTTAGACCCGGCCGCTGTCAGAGTCGTTCTTCCTGTTTTCAGTACACTTCAGCGTGTGCAATCCCACAGTCCGCGATTGGTTAGAACTGCTTTAATTTTGTTTTTCGTAGGACGGGACTTTCTTTTCACAAACAAGGCTCAACGAGGGCTCAATTTTGCACTTTCTTTTTTGAAACACAAAGTAAAACTTTGCAGACATTTGGAAAACTCCCGTTCATTCCCCGCTACAAAAATACTAAATTCCCAATACTAAAGATTTGATGTAATAATAATACTATGTACTGTATTGTGATAAATTTAAGACGTACAGAGTACAAGCTGTAGAGATGCCTACCAAGGTATCTCCCTTAGTGAATGACATTTTAGTTCTCAACTGGGACATTGTATAAATATACAAATACTGCATATTGAAGATAATTTATGTTTTTATATAAGAGTTTAGTGTTTGCCCAAACTAGTTTTACTATATTAATAACAGCATAGCACAGCCAGGCCAAGATGCAAAAATAAAAAAAAAAAATCAAATCAAAGTTTATTTATCAAATGCACAACAATATGGCGTGCAGCAATAGTTGCTGGCAATGAAATGTCTTTTCTGCAAGCTCACAAAAATCACAAAATTCACAAAAATCACAAAATTGAGGTTACGTTTTTTGAAATGGAATAAAACTCAATATGAGTAGAGCTGCTATGTGTCCATGGTGTATGCAATATATACAAGTAGTGCAGTTATCCTGAATACAGTGAAAACTGTGTCCATGTAGCCATTACAGGTGATTTGCTAAGGAGCTGCAGGTTGGCTATTTAGCAGTCTTATTGCCCGGAGGTAGAAGCTGTTCCGTAATCTGTTGGACTTGGACCGAATGCTTCAGTACCGTTTACCAGATGGTAGGAGTGAAAACAGTTTGTGACTGGGATGACTGGGGTCCTTGAGAATGGAATGGAGAATGAGTAGATATCCTGGATGTTTGGTAGCTCACAACCGGGGATGAGCTGCGCTGACTTCACCACCCTCTGCAGTACTTTGCAATTCTTGGCGGAGCAGTTCCCATACCAGGCAGTGATGCAACCAGTCAGGATGCTCTCAATAGTGCACCTGTAGAAGTTGGCCTGGATAAGTGATGGCATGCCGAACTTCTTTAGCCTGCGGAGAAAGAATAGGCGCTGCCGTGCTGTCTTGACCACGGTGTTGGTTTAGTGGGTCCAGGTTAAGTCCCCTGAGATGTTAGCTCCCAGGAACTTAAAACTCCTGACCCTCTCCACTGCAGTCCCATTGATGTAGATAGGTGTGTGATCTCCTCCCTGATGTTTCCTATAGTCCACAATCATCTCCTTTGTCTTACTGATGTTAAGAGAGAGGTTGTTCTCCTGGCACCATGCTGCCAGGGTTTCAACCTCCTCCCTGTACGCAGACTCCTCTCCATCTGTGCTCAGGCCAATGACTGTTGTATCGTCCGCAAACTTAATGATGGAGTTTGAGTTACAGTATCTCTGACGACACAATCATGGGTAAATAAGGAGTAGAGGACAGGACTAAGCACGCAGCCTTGGGGTGCTCCAGTGTTTAGAGTCAGGGTAGAGGATATGTTGGTGCCCACCTTCACCACCTGCGGACGTTCCGTCAAGGAGTCCGGGATCCAGTTACAGAGGGAGGTGTTCAATCCTAGGTCCTGGAGCTTGATGACAAGCTTTGAGGGCACTATGGTATTGAATGCTGAGCTGTAATCAATAAACATCATTCTCACATATGTTCCTTTCTTATCCAGGTGTGAGAGGGCAGTATGGAGGGCAGTGGCAATAGCATCTTCAGTTGACCTGTTCTGGCGATACTCAAATTGCAGTGGATCTAGGGTGTCAGGCAGTGAGGAGGTGATGTATGCTTTGACCAGGCTCTCGAAGCACTTCATGATAACTGATGTGAGTGCAACAGGGCGGTAGTCATTTAGGCAGCTGACTCTGGGTTTTTTCGGAACAGGGACAATGGTGGTTTTCTTAAAGCAGGAAGGAACTATAGACTGAGCTAGAGAGAGATTGAAAATGTCAGAGAAGACATCTGCCAGCTGGTCTGCACATGCTTTCAGAACACGGCCAGGGATAGCATCAGGGCCAGGAGCCTTTGCGTGGATTGGTCTTTTTAAAAACTTTACACACATCCGCTCTGCAAAATGCAAAAGAGATAGCCAAATTATTGTCACAATAAACTTTTATGGTATGTACCGTATACAGTGCACTGCAAAAGAATTCACTAACTTCCAGTGATCTTCCATTTGGTAGAATTACAGATGCTGAGTTCTTGGCAGAGAAGAATGGGTGAAAATCACTTCCCTGGGAAGGGTGCTGTCTAACTATAAATCTGTTCATGTATTTTTTTTATTATTATTATCAGCAGCAGCAACAACTACAACAACAGCAACAATTATTATTATTATTATTATTATTATTATTATTATTATTATTATTATTATTAAAATAGTTCAGGTTGAGCATTCAAATTTTGGTTAAAATAGTTCATTTAAAGAATGTGAATGCATTATATTGCAATTCAACAAATCTATATGTTAATATATAATACTGGAAGGGCTGAAAACTATTGCAAGCTGGTGTATACATTTTTAAATAGAATTGTAGCAGAATAAGAAAAAAAACCTACACAAAATGATTACTCCTTCTCCGTGATTGTATGTGATTGTAATAGGTCCAAACCAGGTCAGTCTGATCTAGCTCCAAACATAATGGTTCTCCCACACTATTGGACTCATTATGCTATTAAAGTTCATCGGTCTTTCTCTTGTTATTCCTATTGACCTGACATCTCATTACAAGATGTCTCTTACAAGAATCATGGCAAGAAACCTAAAAGACAGCCTGTTACTTTCAGATGTGAAAATCACATCCACGTCACCTTTTTATCCTGCTAGCGAATCCTATGGCCATGCAGATATTCATCTACTATAGATCTAATTATTCGTGTGTCCACTGTATAATCTTACATTTAATAGGGGTAAGACATATTGGTTCAGTCTTGTCACCTTTTTTGAATAGGCACTAAATTAGTCATTTTCCATTCAGTATTTCCCCTGTCTTGAGAGACAGTTGAAACAGTACTGTTAATGTCCTATAAATAGCATCTCGTTTCCTTATGTACTTTTGGTAGAATACCATCAGGCCCTGGAGATTTAACTATCTTTCAATGCTTCTGGTACCTGAAACACTTAGCTCTTCTTTGCTAATACAAGATATGCTGCTGAGTGATAAACATTTCAGTGAAATATTATTTTGATAATTTTATCCATTTCCCTTTCATGAGTTATCTCTGAGGCATTTTACTTCATTCATTAATGTTCTTTTGCTGTGGCAATACTGAAAAAATATTTTGTCTTCATTGTAATATTCTTTTCTATCTCCGTCTTGGTCTCTCCACTACTCTTCTTGACCTGTGCTTGTAACTTGTGACCTGGTGTGGTCCTGTGCATTTTTTTTTAAATTTATTCTCAGAAAAAAAAAGCAGATTAAAAAGGTTTAACTGATTTGTTAAAACTTTGGTCCACTGCTTACTGTGCTTTGCTTTCCTTACTTGTGAGATGAGTCTATGCTTCAGATACTGTAGATTCTACTCCTCTTACAGCCTTTATTTTGGACTGTCTTTGCAATCAAAAATGTATTGAAATATATATATATATTATAATAATATTATTACAGTTTTTGAATGGTTCTGGCACCTCTGTTTTCCTTACCTCTACCTTGATTATTTGAGAAGACTAGATTGATACAGATATTCACTGCAATAGGTCCTCTGAGTACTTTAACTGAGAAAGTAGTTGGTTGCCATGTTTACCGTTTCAGTTCTAAGTTGCTGACATCCCTATTGGTGCTTCCTAATATCCATCTATACATTTTATAACCGCTTCATCCAATACAGGGTCATGGAGGAGCTGGAGCCTATTCTGGCAAGCAATGGGTATAAGGCAGGATATTCCTCGGATGGAATGGCAGTCCATCACAGGGTATGAACAAAAACAGACACAAACACACAAACAGTCACACCAGGGAAAAGTTTCCCAGAACCCAATTAACCTACCAGTATGTTTTTGGTTGGGAAGGAAACGGGAACACCTGAAGGAAACTCACACAAACATGTGGATATACTGTATGTGAGGAAAATTAAAGCCCCCCTTAATAATCATTTCTTCCTTGGTACATACCGTATGTTCCTGGCCTCGTTAGGCCTCATCATTTCTTTATAATTAATCCATTCTAAACACATTTATATAGGAAACTTGTTTTGCATTTACATGAAATATCTTGACAGCTTGGCAGTTTCTATTAACATTTTTTTTACTCAGAGCGCTACACTGGGGTACTGAGTACCCTTTGGCAAATGTATAAATAAGACACAGAGGAAGCAAGGTTGGAGAGCTTTGAGTATGTGTAAGTAATTTACTCAACATGTTGCTCTGAACGTCCATTTCACTTTTATTCCCTGATTTGATTTAACCTCCCGTGACATGGTGAGGGAAGCCCCACAGAGGTTCAGGCTGAAGTGAGACATTGGCATTGGCAGCCCTCATGAGAATCCAGGCTTCTGGTTTGTTTTAAGCAGATGCCTGTTGTTCCCTGAAATCCAATGGGATTCAGTCAGGAAGAGCCCTATCAGAGCTGAGCTGCCTTGCCATTTTCGGTCAAAGCACATGTCGAGTGTTTTGGCAAATGCACACACTTTTAACCCCTCTGATCCTTTGTTAGTATATCTGATCAGACTGACCTTTTCACTTGCTAATTGTTTACTCACATCATAGTTGAATGTTCTATGTACTATGTTTGCTTTACAGGAGTCTCTGGAAATGTTATTTTAGTTTGTTGTTTTTAAATAAGTGTTTTTTTGCAATGTAAAAAATGTTGTAACACATGCTTATATAAATACAGAGAGCAATGCTTATATTAATTGTACTGTTTGTTACTATGGTGGAATAAAAAATGTTGATGTAGTCCCACCACAGCCACACCCATGTGTGTATTTCAAATAGGGTTATTGGCATCTTTTATTGCTTTATTGGCAAGTCATTCTTATTTTCTACCTACTTATGCATTTGTCACAATGATCAGTGACCCAAGTACTGGTCTGATTTGTTGTTTGCTGGCAGAAAAAAGCGTTAACTGTGATTTTCTCATAAAGAGAGAGGTGCTGTCAGTCAAAAAAAGAACAAAATGCACCTCTGTAATAGTCTGCAGTGCTTGGCAGAATACATTGTGACTAGTGGAAAGAAATGAGATCTCCAGGACTACACTGAATATGCCCCCTGTTGCAAAACCATTGTCAATAATAAATATTAAACAAAAATAATGAAAAATAATACAACTAAATACCACATCCCACAGAACCTTGTAAATATAATTGATTTTTCCATTGGAAGAAAAAATAACTTTATTAACTATACTGTATTTATATTACATCATATAATATTAGTAACTGAATTTAATTACTGTTATACATATTTTGCATTTATCAACAAAGTAACAGCATTAATCAATAAAGATTAAAAATCTATTTGGTTTTATTTATTTTTGGTCATCTTAATCTTTTATAGCTCTTAGCTGTCACAAAAGCTGTCAAACAAAAGACACCTGTTTGACTTAAAGCACAGAATTTTCATTATCAACTAAACCTGAATTAACACCAGATGAGTTTAATGCTTTCATCAAGTGCTCGCTGTATAGACTGATGAGGACAGATATAGTTGTGTCACTGTCCTTAAAACAGGATTAAACTGCAGGTTTTATGATTACGTTTAATGGAGAAAGCCTAACTGAACATGGTTAGAAGCAGCAATGAGCTAGATAATGGTAAAGTGCTTTTAAGCAGAAACAAGCCTAATTTCTAAGACCCATGAAGCACAAAAAATTTGTAGGGTAACTTTCCTATGGGGAAATCTAATAATGTTACAAGCCGCTTTCCAAGACCACACCTTCTGTAGACTATTTCTTCCCTTAAATGCCTTGAAAAAAAGCAGTCTGCCAAGTCTCTCCTTATTTACTGAATAGTTCCTTTTTTGGTGTTGCATAAAAGTCTGTGCATGTTATCCTAGCTGTGTAAAAAACAGATTTCTTTACTGTGGAGCCAAGTCATTGTATTCCTTGAATGTTTGATTTACTTAAGCTTTAATTTATTTTTGACTCCTGTTTTCAAAAGCCGTGCATTGGTGTACAATGTGAAAAATTATATTTTTTTGTTCTTTTTTTCCTAAATTAAAAAATATGTGCATGGAACAAATACAAAAGAGCAGTGAGGCTCTGGTCCCTCCTCTAATACCTAATCAGACTGTGCAAGTATGGTATTGATTTTTTTGGAAAGGGTTTTTCAACACATTGAAATATGTATTGAGGGGCACACAGCTGACTTCATAACAAAAGAAAAGGGATTTTATCATTTTAAGAAGGAAGTAAAGTATGTCTGGAAATGTCCCATCCTGGACAGGAAGTACAATAAAAGATAAATAGGTGCAATATAATTAGTGTTTAATAGAGATAACAAGAGGGACAACAGTGTTTTTAACGGGCTGAAGCTCTCATAATGGGAACACAGGAAGATCCACAGCAAAGCACAAAAATGACTGGTTATGAAGGATGCATAAGCTGGTAAACTACTGTAGAGCTTAAATCATTGTTATTGAGTTTAATTCATCATATATTTTCTACAGTATATATCTGAAAACAGTTATCTTTCACCTAAAAACACAATTTATGAAGCCCAAATCTGGCTTTGTGTGTTTTAGGAAAATGTCAGCCCTGCCTACAGCTATGAGTATATGGGAGTTTTCTCGTCTTAAGTCAAACAGGGATTGAACGCTAGCTTCATTTTTTATAAACAACCTCCATTCCAGGCATGCCTCCAGACAGCAGTTGTGTTGTCTTACTTGAGCATGGAAAGAATGCACCATCGTAGTTCAGCACTCGGCCTCCTCCGTGAATGGAAGGGACAGATTAGTGAAGCACACGAGAGAACACATTACTTCTTTTGAAACCATCAAAACCTCAGCCTGTAGTCTCATGTTTGCCAGAACTATTTCTCTTAAAATCTAATCGTAATCTACAACTATTTTAATTTTACAAAAAACGTCTAGAATACAGCCACATTTAGGGCAAACAATACAACACAGTGATGCACTGAAGCGCTATTAAATACCACTGAGTATAGGGAAACTTATTCCAGAAGTGGTGTCATCTGCCTGGTATAATTCTTTAGAAGACAGGTTGTTTTAAATCAATGGTAAACTGGCAATGACAGGACTTGTTTCAAAGAAGTTCCGTTTAATGAAGTAGCCACCTACACATTTTCTAAAGCAGGCTTCAACACTGGGAATAATGTAGATTGATTTTAAGACATCAGATTTTTTACATGACAGTCCTCCATAGCTGTAAACCTCCAATATGTTCTCAGTATATTACACTGCCCCACTGTGCTCTAAAATCTTTCATTTGCATATTAGTCAAAAAATGATATAACCTTTAATGTGACCCAGGCTGATCCCCTGCACAATTTTTGTAAGCTTTTTAACAACTATAAATCTATATCACTCTGGCCTGACACATGATTTATGAAACCTCTTAAGATCTCTGCATGCACCAATGTTCAGTGCTAATGAACATCCCCTTACAATAATGTCTGCAGAATCACACAAGGGAAATATGTATAATCCATGCAAGGCATGTCATCGAAATGTCTGAATCGTGCCTACTGACCTAAAAGAGTTTGAGATGATGTCTTGCTTCAGCAATTATTTATAGAAACATGACCTCATTGAAGTTAAGCCTCAGGTTTTGCCAAAGGTTTTGATCATGCCTTGGTTCAACCTGAGCTGTTAATAATTGCTTCATTCAGTCTTCTGTGAATGGAGAATTATATCTAGTTTTTACACCCTTCTTTTGAAACAGAAATTAATATACAGTAGTAACTCTTTTGTAAAGCATTTAAAAATTTTAGAAATAATATTATGGATATACAGCGCATATGGGGATGTGTGTTTCTGTGTGAATATACTTGCAAACACACATATACAGTACATGTTCTAATTGAAACTGTTTCACTGTTTACACTGGTTGAAACCTGCGTCGCTGTTCCTAACGAACCACAGGACACGAGTGAAAAGTGTGTGGAAGTTAATTTGAAATATAAAGGGCTGTGTGACATGTTGTTGAAGCAGAAACCATTATTTATTTCAACAAATGGCCGAATGAGATCCTTGGTTTAATCAGCTACAACCAATCGGGTGAAATGGACTGAATGGCCTCTTCTCATTTGTAACCTTTTTTATGGTCTTATATACGCACAACCTTAGGTTACGGTTAACCTGTAGGTTTCAAGCACCTTACGCACCTAGTAAGAGGAAACTGCATTGGGAGGCCGTTAAACTGGTGAGATAACTTCATCATCAATATCTGCCACATATTATAAAAAGTCTAAGTCAGTATAAGAAAAGTGAACAATAATATACCACTTCTTGCTTCAAAACATTTGACCTATACCATGATAAATATATAGATTTAATATATGCTTAATATTGATTTTCCAAGATGAGTTCACTGAAAATGAAAGCAGCACTCTTATTGGGGTGTTTACATCACATTTTACTCTTCACATTGTCAAATACTAGTTTTTGTTGGCACAAGGTGTTTGCTGTAAAATTCCCTCACTGTCTGGGTGTAGCCTTTACTTTTTCTTTAAATAAGCATGTCAGATACTTTCCAGTATGATTCAGTTTTGCAGTATTGATGCTCCAGAGTTGGATTTTGCTCTGGATGTCTGGGCCATTCTTCAGTTATGAATGCAAAGAAGACAGTTACAATGCCAGCAGAAAATGGGGGAAGGTCAGCCTCTAGTTTCCTGTCAAAACTTTTAATAGAGTGACAGATACCGAAGGCCTTTTGTCCTTTTATCATCCTTAATTCCTTTATACATAATCCATTCTGAGTTTCCGCTGCCTGAATCTGTATCTGTAGCCAAAAGCTTTCTTACTGATGGTCCCTCACTCAATTTCAGTCTCAAACTTGGAGATGCAAGACTATAAGGTTTGGTAAATGTACACTTAAATCTAAGCTTAGGAAATATTTCTTTGGACTAAAAGTTGAGCTTTTATTTTAAGCCGTTACAGGAAGGGATACATGTCTGTTCTCAAATCATCTCCCATTTTAACAGGGTTAAATAGCTGATCATTAACGGTGCAGTGTTTCCAGCATCAGACTGCGAATGAGTGAAATTATTCACCCTGTTGCATGAATGTATTGTTGGAACTACTCCAATCTGGCAGTAACACATGTTGTAAGCTTGCTTTACCTTGAAATACAAAACCTTTTCTGATACAATGTTGGATCTCTGCCCATCTCTCCTTGGACGGATGCTCTATGTCAGGGAGGATGGAAGCATATTTTACCAGTCCTCAGCAGTCCTGAGGATCTGATGTGTTTATATTCCAGGATGACGAAGTCTCCTCCTCACTCAGTACAAGAACCATGGAATGAGCAGAGGACATTGGCTGACCACCCAGACTGGAGTTTCTCTAATGCAATCCCTATAAGGTTGCGTTAGAGTGAGGGACAGAGCTGCTTTCTGCCCCAGCTCCTTGTTTGGGAAGTGGGAGGGAAAAGTGTGGGATCAGGAACTACATAAACTCTCCCCTGGCAGATGGATCTTACACCATCCCCGAGCAGCAAACCCCCGGCCAAGCGCTGTCAGGGTAAGTGTCATTCAAGCTAATCCAGCTGCCTGCTTCATGGAAGTAGAAATCAGGATGCTGCGCTCTATTCATTACACTGTGACAGGAGTTGGCTTGTGTGGTTTATAAAACAGCTTGCCGAATCATCACTGCAAGTCTGAGAAACTCAGCTGTCAGTCTTCAAAATCATGTAGTGTGGCATACTATCTGCTGAAATGCACAAGCTTGTGCAGGGCAGGTTTTCAGATCTATCATGCAAATTGATTGTACTTGCATTATACATTTAGAAACTATTTTGCTTGTATTTCAGTGGCTTTTTCAAATGGCTTATGTAAAACATGTGCTGCATGTTTCATATGTTAAGAGATAAGTGATTTAGCAGCTTGTATATTACTGAGGTGATGCTCTGTATTGGAAAATGTGTCTTGAGAAAGAAAATGGTATTTTTAATGCATGTAATACTGAGGTGTGGTGATAGCAGATTTTTATTGATCAAAGTACTGCAGCTTTTATTTTCTTTTTTTGTATGACCCACTTGCATCTCGGTTTACTCATAACAAATTGAAATTTGTTAGAAAAAAAGGGATTTCCTAAAAGCAGAGCTGAAAATCTTAAAAGAATATAAGATGTAATCTGAAATGGTACTTGCGTTTACTATGCAGATAGAAAAGCAATGTGGGCTCTGTGTGATTTTTCCATTTGCAGAACATCATGTGGCTGTTGCTCATATTAATTGAGTCCTTAATGTCAATGCCATAATCTCGTAAAAGAGTTAGTATTTGTACTGATGTGAGTTTACAAAGGTTATCTTCAAATGTAGGAAACCAAACTGAAGGGCTGCATATTTAAATGCTAATTGATTCTTGGCAGTAACCTCAAAGTCTTGCTCCTTCAAGGAAGTGTGCTCTGGCTGGGATCTTCTGGCATATAAAGCATGATTCCTTTGAGTTTTATTACTAAATATGGTTGTGTGGGATTCCTGTGGAGGCTACGTCGCAAGATACTCTCCCCATCTTCGTCTTTTTATGGCTTTCTAAGGCAGGCAAGGCCAATGGAAAGGGAGTGATCTAAACTAACACCAGGCATTTTTCTTGATCTTTTCCTAATTTGGAAGTTTTTCCCATGTTAGGAATTTCATTCATCGAGGAGTGAGTGAACTGCACAAACTCACCGCAGCTATCCAGTGGATTATTATATTCTAAATAAGTTATAATAATAATAATTGTTGTTGTTATTATTATTATACAACCGTCATTTGTGTTTGGTGCTTTTAATAACCTTTATTTTCTATAGTGCCTTTTCCCAATAAAAGATTTGTAAACTACCAAAGCCAATGAAGCATTTGTCTAGAGTAAAAAACGATTTTGTACCACCAAAGTAATCCACGCCTAAGGTTGACTTCAGTCTGAATTGTATTACTATGAGCTTTGAATATTAAGGCACTATCCAACCTGACGCATAGATATTTTTAACTCCAACCTGCTCCATCTTTGATTTATTTAAAGCAAAAAGTTCTAAACTGTTACTAAGGGAGCAATTTCACTATTTTTACTGAACATCATTATTTTAATTTTATCAGCAGAAGACATTGATTCCACAAACCCAAGTGATCACAATTTGTGAAACTAGTCAAAGAAAAAATAGGTCAAAACTTGGGTCGAGCTGAATCTTTACATCCCTACCTGAGTAGAAAAGAATCACAGTACCATACTTGATTTATTACAGCTCATTAAAGGAGAACAGCAATTCTTACATCACATTTGCAAAATATGTACTGTGCTTTTAACTAAAAAATGCAGCTCTTTTGACTGGGACAATCAGAATTAATCATTTGTTAAAAAATAGTTGAAGATGATTTATTACAACAGTGAGCCAATGACAGATGCTCATTCAAGAAGGAAGAGTGTGTGCTTATATACGACAGACAATTCTGGAAGCTCATTCTCTAATATGGTCTGGAGTACTTCCATCACAACATATTTTGAATACTCCAGAATAAAAAAAAAACTGTAGCATTTAGAATAAAACAGGAAACCACAGGGGTACTGCTTGACCACTGAACTGAAGGAGAGAGCTGTTCTGTAACTGTGCATTGTGGTTACAGCGATTGTTTCCCGTTTGAGTTGAAGAAAGCGAAGTGAGGTGACGATGTGTGACGAAGAGGAGACCACAGCTCTGGTGTGTGACAATGGGTCAGGTCTCTGTAAGGCAGGCTTCGCCGGGGACGACGCCCCCAGAGCCGTGTTCCCCTCCATTGTGGGCCGTCCCAGACACCAGGTGGGCAGAACGCGGAGAAGGCAGAGGCCAGCTGATGAGAACCCTGCTCTCACTGGCTGGTCCATACAGGGAGGGTGTGACTGCTGATCACAGCAGTTCTAGGACTAGGGTCTCCAGATCTAGAACCCAGTCAGTCTTACAAGTCACGTGTTCATGAAGATAAGTTATTGTTCATGAAGACAAGTTATTTGGTAAAAGTCACTAAATGATCTTTTCAATAAGACTAACTAAACTCTGGTACTTGAAACCTGAATGGTACACAGATTTTAGTCCTGCAAGATGCCTAAATTACATACTGTAACATAACAAATTATTCCCTTAAATTTGGTCCCAGCCCCAACCTAGTGATTTTTAAAACCTATTGGACTGGGGCTCTGCAGGACCAGGGTTAGGGAGTCCTGTTTTAGAATATCATCTGATGTGCTTTACTTTTTTATTAATAAAAAGTACCAGAAACACTTTGTAGTAAGTTTCACAATACCCTTGGTTAAGTTTCTGTTTAGTGTGTTTGATCTTCTCTCTTTAACTTGGCAAAATTCTGGTGTTCATAATGCTACTGTGTAAATAAACACACTATTTGTTTTACATCCTCAGTCCTTTTAAAACTATTCTTGAAAATGGTCTGTCACCTTATTTTCCAAGGATATCACCCCAAGCACTGAAACCCTAGTAATTTTGTGATTTATGTGATCTTTTCATTGCTCCGCTCTTAGGGTGTGATGGTAGGAATGGGACAGAAGGACAGTTATGTAGGTGATGAAGCTCAGAGCAAGAGAGGTATACTGACCCTGAAATATCCCATCGAACACGGGATCATCACTAACTGGGACGACATGGAAAAAGTAAGGATTTCATCATCAACATTTTTTACTTACAGATATAGACATTTGTCTTTGCTATCATTACAGAAATTGTTTTACTGTACCTTATGTTGCCACCAGACCTGTCATTGTGAATATCATGAGCAGACTGCATTCCCTAGGGCTGTACACAGCATGAATGAGTACTCATTAAGAGGTCTCTGGTCTCCTGCAGCCTTAAGAACTACACTTCACTTGTTTAAAAAACAACATGGAAAAACAGACTTCCTAACACTTTTCCAATGAGAAAGCTGTTGAGTTATGATAGAGGCGATTCCTTTAATTTGTAACAAACATAATTTAACAAACGTTGTATAATGCAAGAGCTTCAGACAGCAACACCAAAATGGCCTTTAAGAAAAAAAAAGGACAAATTCAGGAATCACAACCACAGAAAGATTGATGGAATCTACCTTTGGTGATCTTAAAAAAAGCATGACAGTCCAACCACTCTGATACATTTTCTTTCTAGTATTCCTGTTTTGTCTACAACTAAGATTTTTCTGCTTGATTTTAGATCTGGCACCACTCATTCTACAATGAACTCCGCGTTGCCCCAGAAGAGCACCCCACCCTGCTGACTGAGGCGCCCCTGAACCCCAAGGCCAACCGAGAGAAGATGACCCAGGTGGTCACCGAGCAAACATGGCCAGGTCCCTTTAGCGGTCACAGCTAAGGCCTGCCCACCTGCCTCTCCACAGATGGGACACTCTTTGGATTTTCCCAAATTTCTCTTTGACAGTATATTTCAACAACACTTTATTATATTTCCTTATTGTTTTGGACTATAAAGCTAAATTAAATGGCATGATATTATAATTAATAAGATATTACCATTTATATCTTAAGGCCTTCTTTAGTAAAACTATATAAAGCTATGACATAAGTTATAAATTGAAATTTTAAGCTATATTCCAAAAGTACATATCGGAACATAAGAAAGAGACACCATTTGGCCCTTCTAGCTAATTTGATTGTACTGTAAGTAGATAATTGATTGAATGATCTCTTCCACAGTCTGACGTTTTCACATCTCTTCCATAAAAAACCTGTCCTCAATTTCCAGATCATGTTTGAGACCTTCAATGTCCCAGCCATGTATGTTGCCATCCAGGCTGTGCTGTCCCTTTATGCTTCAGGCCGTACCACAGGTGAGAGGACCTGTTTTTTCCAAACGCATTTCTTGCATCACATGTCATCAAACCTACAGCTTGATGTCTAACTGAGGGAGTCTCCTCAACAGGTATTGTCCTTGACTCTGGTGATGGTGTCACCCACAATGTACCCATTTATGAAGGCTACGCTCTGCCCCACGCCATCATGCGCCTGGACCTGGCTGGCCGTGATCTCACTGACTACCTCATGAAGATCCTGACCGAGCGCGGCTACTCTTTTGTGACTACTGGTACGTAACTGGGGCAGAGAAAAAGAAAAACTCATTTCTTTGAACTTTGAACTTTGAACTTTATTGCCATATGTAACCGGTACTGGTACAATGGAATTCTTACTTACAGAAAGTCTCT